TTTAAATGCGATTTTAATTACCACCAACGCAAACACATCTTCCCGAAATGTGGAATTTCCTTTTGATATTACAGACACTCCAATTTTATTATATGTATAGAAAATAGATATAGATAATGTGACATAACTTGGATACAAAACGTCAAATTAGAAAAGTTCCTACAGCCGGTTTCTCAGCTAAGTTTAACCATTCGTTAGTGTTCTTGCTCTAACTTCGTGAAATGTGTTTCCGAACTATGTAACTTGAGTTGACTCCGTTGAAATATAGGTCAACCTAACACTAGTGTCGCTAGGTAATGACAAAATAAGTGGTAACTTCAGAAACCCGGCTTCAGATCCCTATACTTACGATTCCTCAAGCAGGACCTTCAAATTAAAATTTGCCAATCACCTCCCATCGTCCTCGATAGGTTCACTATTAACGAATTACGTCACTTAGGACGTCAGTTTGGTCATCTCATATTGACAATGTTTTCTTTAATGCATAATAAAAAGATGGTTTTTCAAATGATTTACAATAATTTTATTCAGGAAAATCAATAAGCATCTACTAAGCAGGAAAAATTCTTAACATTATTATTTACAACATTTTCCTCGTACAAGAGATATATTAGAAACGTGTTCTCCATTTATTTATATATTTTTTAAACCAATAATAAAAGGTTTACTGATTGCTTATCCGGAGAATAATACAAATATCTAATGAATATAGAAACTTCAATAACGATATTCAGTTCAAATCTCGACATTTAAACGAAACAATCGAATTGTGCGGTTAAAAACGTGTTTAGTAACATATCTATTGTCAGTTGAAGTGTACAGTTTTGTCTTTACAAGTAAGTAACTGTGCAGTTTGACCTTTCACTTAGAATTGAAGATGCATTATTTGAATTATGAATGATGGACTAGTCTCGCCTGCTAACTTCTATCCGTGGATAGTGTGCTTTAGTGAGTGACGTGAGTTTTAGAAGCGCTTTGCCTAAATTTCGAAACATTAAAATAGACTGTATTTATAGAGTGATCTTACTAATATCATAAATACCCAAGTTTAGATGTTTTTATGGATGGGCGGATTTTCGTTAGAGTTTGTTGTCTAATCGCTGAACGGATATCGACGAAATTTGTCATTGCTGAATACTTTTGTTTTTTAGTTCTATGCGCATGGATTTGCTGGAGAAAGTTATTTAAATTATAAAATCGTAATTTACAATCTTCGGATATGGGCGGAAATCGTTAGTTATGAGTGTGGAAGGGTACATTGGTAGAGGTAGACCTAGAAAGATATGGATGGATAGCGTGAAAGGTGACATGATCAAAAAGGGAGTGATGACTGATATAATGTATAATAGAATTATGTGGAGGATAAAAACCTGTTGCACCGATCCTACGGGAGTAGGATAAGGAAAAAGATGATGATGAGCGGACATCACTAGAGTTAGGAATGATCTACTTGTGTAAAAAAATTTGAAACTCCTTAGTAGCCATTGCCTTTGGTTTGGGTTATTTAACAATTGTTAACTGAATAGGTGTTTGAATATAGAGGTGACGTAATAAATAAGTCATAGTTTACACATTCACAAAACCGGAGGTAAGACAGACATAACAAGAGTCAAACCCGAAAAGCCAATTACGAGTTATAGTAGACTGGCTTGTACTGTGACTCAGAATAGCTATCACTAATGTAGTTTGAATTTCGTTGCTATGACGACCGGTGATAAGGCTATTAAGGCGATTACATTTACCAATTTAAATAGTAATATAAGTATAATAAGTAATTTAAATAGTAAAGTAAGGTTTAGATAGTAGAACAGTTATCTTGTAATATATTATCACCATACTTAATGGATTTGAGATTAACGCGTTCCATTAAATTTTTACGGAATAAGGTGAACAATTCGATGGCACTGAAAGTGTTAAATTAACTTAAATGAAACACTTAATTTTTTTTGGCAATGTTTTAATTACATACATTTATTTATTATTTACAAATAGGTTCTTTCACAATACAAATACACAACAGAAAAAAGACGTCTAACAAAAAACAAATAAAAACCATTTGCCCTTCTACAAACGGCCGAGATAGAGTCGATATTTGACTTTTAAATATCATATGTATCCACTTAAAGCGACATACAGCGTATACATTATGTATACATATCTGGTTAGACCAAGGGCGACTAGGTCGATGACGTCACGCGACAAGTTTCTAAAACTAGTCGCGCGCCGCGGCGGGACTCGCTAGGAATTTCCTTCATAAATGACATTAGATTAATATTTACAAATTAACACTTAAATGACATCCGCACGCAAAGCATTTTTTTAAATAAGAACGAATGGCGGGAACACTAACGCACTAACTATGGCCCATAGACATCCGCAACACTAGATGAACCATAGATGTGTTATAGTTCTTCGAAGGTGGTATGCTTACTTTTTGACGTACTGGTTTGTAAATTCACACGGTTGTGGAATGCCAGCCATCGAGATGTTTGCCTTCTTCGATTAAAATTAAAAAGATGACGTCACCAATTTCTCAAGCCAAGATCTGACATAATAATCATAATATTCTTTGAATAAGCGATTAAGTTATATTTTTAAGTATGATAACATATGATAAAAGAAATGATAAGGCTGTGCATGTACCACTCTATAATCTCTGCCTACCTGGTTACGAGATTTAGTTTTATCTCACTGAATAGAATTCTCTTTAGTGTGGGCGGTAGTTTGTCGCTTTACGATGTGATGTCGCAACAAATGTATTGTCATGTGATGTAACAAAAAATAAGCGCCGTTGGCATGTTTCTAAGGTGAAAAACACAAGTTGGTAATTGTTTTTAGTAGTTACAGCCGGTGACATAACCTATGTGGTATGGGTTAGTAAATTTAATTCAAGTAACGCCTGTCCAGGACATGTATATTCAGCTAACAGCTCTCTTAAATTGATAGTTATATTAAATTAGCGTGTTTTTAAAAACTAAAGTTAACTGGATGTTAATTTACAATTTTACAAATAGAATACACATTTAATACACAAAAAATGTTTTAATATTGTTCAGTAATACATTTCATGTAAACAAATATTTTTTTGAGTTACAATTGAAATGTTAAATTTGCACAGTAACATATGTCTACGGGCAGCAGTCGCTTCGCTATTTCAGCGAATTCGAGGCGACTTGGTCGTATCACACCTTATAATATAAAAAATAACTTACATATAAATATAAATAATTATGTGACTAACTTACATTTACGATAATTAGATAAAACAGCAATTTTTAGAATAACATTTTTATTAATAACAAAAATCAGAAAACTAAATCCTTCCTGTTTATAGATAACAAGCGACACGCGTGGTATGTATATACGTACACCAAAGCTATGTTGCAGGTCTATTAGGTAGAGTATACTCTGAACTTAGCCGTAGTTCATTCTCTTGAATCTCGTTGTATTAAAGGGATAAAACGTAACCTCTATCAGGCTATGTCTGAGACATCTTTAAGATACAGACAAAGCCAAGGAGAGGCTAGGTCAACATCCCGTCATCTTCTATTTCGTTCTTCGACACTTCATTCTTCGCTACTTCATTCTTCAATTTTTGTTTTTCCAGTTCCTATTATGGAATTATAGGTAATATTCATATACCTTTATTATGAATTTCGCCATTTTGTAACCGAAGTAGGTGTAATTGCTGATAATTTTAATTATTTTCGCGAAAATATCAGCTTGCAATTAACTTCAGATTTCAGATCAACATAGAATTCAGTTATAAACGAAAGATTCATATTTAAATAATTTTTGTAATTCACGTTTACGCGTATTTGAATATGAATCTTTCGTTCATAACTGAATTTGTTATTATTTTAAAGTAGACCTTGTCCGATTACAAATTGTCGAAGTTACAAATCGGTTGGTAACATAA